TATTGTATACCTAGATTGTACCAATAACCTCAATAAAAAGAAAAAAAAAACTAGACCTATATCACTCACCATGCACTAAACTAAAACCAAAATGGATTAAAGATCTAAATATTAAAACAGAAACACTGAACCAGCTGGAAGAGAGGCTAGGTAGAACTCTTGAAGACACTGGTGTAGGAAAAGATTTTATGAACAAAACCTCAGTTGCCCATAAGCTAGCACAAACAATCAACAAGTGGGATGCCTTCTTATTAAAAAGCTTCTGCACAGCAAGAGAAACTACCAACAGTGTGAAGAGACAACCCACAACGTGGGAAAAAATTTTCACCAGCTCTTCCTCAGACAAAGGTCTACTATCTAGATTATATAAAGAACTTTAAAAAAACCAGACCTCCCAAATTTTAAGATCCAATCCAAAAATGGCCAACCGAAATCAGCAGACATTCCTCAGACAAAGTAAAAATAGCAAATAAACATGAAAAATGTTCAACATCACTGGTCATTCAAGAGATGCAAATGAAAACAATGCTGAGATTACACCTCATCCCAGAAAGAATGCTGCTTCCATGAAATCAACCAATAACAAATGCTGGCGGAACTGTGGGGAAAGAAAAACACTGCTCCACTGCTGACAGGAGTGTAGACTGGCACAACCACTGTGGAAATCAGTATGGAGATACCTCAAGGAGCTAGGATTGGAGGTCCATTTGACCCAGCAATTCCCCTGCTGGGTATCTCCCTCAAAGAATTAAAAGAATTGGGGCTGAGGATTGAGCTCAGTGGTTCCACCACCCACCTCACAAATGCAAGGTCCTGAGTTCAATCCCCAATACCAAAAAAGAAGAAGAAGAAGAAAAAAAAAAGAATAACTCAGTGACAGATGTGCATCCATGTTTCTACCAGCACAATTCATGATAGCTAAAACTCAGAAGCAGCCCAACTGCCCATCAACTGGAAACTGGATAAAGAAAATGTTTTTTTGTTTGGTTTTGTTTTTTTATAAAATGGAGTACTACTTAGCCATAAAGAATGCGAAACTAGAGACATTTATAGCTAAATGGATGCACCTTGAGGCTATACTCTTAAGTGAAATAAAAAGGACACATATGTATACATACTGAAAAGTTTCTCTAGTGTGAGAAACAAAGTGTAAATAAGGACTAAAAGGTATAATAGATAATGTGAATAGGAAGAAAAGGTGCAAGGGGGAAGGGGAAGTGAGTGGGGTGGGGAAAAAGAAAGAAGGGAATGGAATTAACATGAAAAAATGAAAAAGTGGAAACAAACTCTTTATAGATAGGGAGGGGTAGAAGAGTTGAAGGGAGAGCAGGGGAATGGAAAAAATAGAAGAACCAAGATAGATTATGTAAAGGTGCAAATTTCCAGTGATGAATGTCATTATATTGTATACCTTAAATGTACCAAAAAATTAATTAGAAAAAGAAAATCACATTGTAAAAACATATATATAAAATATATTCCAAAAAGATTTTCTTCAAAACTATTACAAATGTTTTAATTATTTGAAAATATAACCTTAAATTATCTAATAAAATAAGCACAAATATGTAATGACCTAATCCAATAAAAAAGTGAGACCAGAAATTTCTGTGATGATACCATATGCATGCCTAAAATAATTCATGCACTGCAATACATACTAAAATCATATGAGCTGAAGAGGAAAAAAAAAAAACTACTTTGAGACAGACTATAACCAGAGAACTGATTTTAAAAAAATAAAAATGTGAAAACTACTACCACAGTTGAAGTTCTACAGACAGAACCTTCTATCAACTCTAAGCTACCTTTTCACTTTGACAATAGCTCTTTCTGAAAGGACTTACTTCCAAAAGAACCCATGTTCATCAATACTAAAAACTTAACTTTCATTATACCATTATGTAGCATTATGGCTCTCAGTACTGAGGGTATAGTAAAAAGCTATGCTCCTCAAAACACAACAAAAAAAAAATCCCTTAGAGTAAGAGCCAAAATTTGGACACAGGCCAGCATTCAACATCTAACAGAGACACAGAAACAAACACCGCTCATGAGGGCAATTTTCTGCTTCTTTACTTCTCAGCCCCCTTCCATGTCAAATCTTAAGATTGCGAAAGAAGAAAGGTAAATGAGGAGGAGATATAAGATCTACCTGATTCTTCCTACCCAGGAGCAGGGGATATCTTTCCATTTTTTTATATCCTCTTCAATTTCTTTTTTCAGAGTGCTGTAGTTTTCAGTGTAGAGATCTTTTGCTTCTTTTGTTAGATTGATTCCTAGATACTTCATTTTTTTGGATGCTATTGAAAAAGGAATTTTTTCCCTTATTTCTCTCTCAGTGAGTCTGTTATTTGTGTACAAGAAGGCTATTGATTTTTGGGTATTCACCTTGTATCCAGATACTCTACTGAATCTGTCAATTAAGTCTAGAAGTCTTTTGGTGGAGTTTTTTGGGTCTTCAATGTAGAGTATCATATCATCAGCAAAAAATGACAGTTTAACTTCTCCCTTTCCTATCTTTATTGCTTTAATTTCTTTCTCTTGTCTAATTGCTGTGGCTAATATTTCCAGAACTATATGGAAGAGGAGTGGTGATAGTGGGCATCCTTGTCTTGTTCCTGATTTTAACATGAAGGTTTTCAGTTTTTGGCCATTTAATATGATGATGGCTGATGGTTTTTCATATAGTGAAAATGGTCATACTACCAAAACTTCAATATACATTCAATGCAATGCCAATTGAAATTCCAACACTATATTTCACAGAACTAGAAAAAAGAACCCAAAAATTCATTTGGAACCATAAGAAACCTAGGATAGCAAAAGCCATTTTAGGCAACAGACACATGGCACCAGCTGTAACAATTCCCAATTTGAAACTATACTACAAAGCCACTGTGATAAAAACAGCATGGTACTGGCAAAGAAACAGGCCAGAGGATCAGTGGAACAGACTGGAAGACACAAAAACAAACCCAGATGTACTCAGCTACCTCATCTTTGACAAAGGAGAAGACCATCCACAGTGGAGGAAAGATAGTCTCTTTAATAAATGGTGTTGGAAAAACTGGATGTCAACATGTCACAGATTAAAATTAGACCCTTATCTTTCGCCATGTACTAAATTAAAATCCAAATGGATTAAAGATCTAAATATTAAAACAGAAACATTAAACTTGCTGGAAGGTAAGTTAGGCAGAACTCTGGAAGACATTGGCATAGGAAAAGACTTTATGAACAAATCCTCAATAGCACGGGAACTAGCAGATAGAATCAACAACTGGGATCTCATCTTATTAAAAAGCTTCTGTACTTCAAAAGAAACCATCAGCAGAACTAAGAGACAATCTACAATGTGGGAAAAAATTTTTACCAGCTGTTCCTCAGACAAAGGACTATTATCAAGGATATATAAAGAACTCAAAACAATCAGTCCCCCCAAATATAAAGACCCGATTCAAAAATGGGCATCCGAAATGAACAGACATTTCTCATACAAAGAAGTAAAAGCAGCAAGAAAATATATGAAAAAATGTTCCACATCACTGGTCATTCGAGAGATGCAGATGAAAACAACACTGAGATTCCACCTCACCCCACAAAGAATGGCTGCTATCAAGAAATCACACAATAACAAATGTTGGTGGGGTTGTGGGGAGAAAGGAACCCTTCTCCATTGTTGGTGGGAGTGCAGACTCAGGCAACCACTACGGAAATCAATATGGAGATACTTCAAAGAGCTTGGACTGGAGGCCCCATTTGACCCAGCCATCCCTCTGCTGGGTATCTTTCCAAAAGAACTAAAAGAATCATATCACAGAGAAGTATGTGCACCCATGTTTATAGCAGCACAATTTGTAATAGCTAAATCTTGGAAACAGCCCATTTGCCCATCTGTTGGAAACTGGATAAAGAAGATGTGGTTTTTCTATAAAATGGAATATTATTCAGCCATAAAGAACGAGAAAATAGATTCATTCATAGGAAAATGGATACATATTGAAGATATACTCCTGTGAAATAAATAAGTCACATTATGTGTAAATACCAAATAGTTTTTCTGGTGTGACTAATCTGCAATAATATATAAGATCCTAATGAGATTACTGACATTTAGAAATGGGAAGAAAGGAGCTAAAGGTGTAGGGAAGGTGGGATGGGTAGGGGAAGGGTAATAAGGGAAAAGAAAAAAAATGTGAGATAATGAAAAGATGAAAATAAAGTGTTTGTAGATGGGGAGGGGAGGAGGGGGTGAAGGGAGGGCAGAGGTAAGGGGAAAAAATGAGAACCAAGACTTGTCATGTAGAGGTACAAGATCCCAACAATGAATGTAACTGTATCCCTAATAAACTCAATTAAAGCTGAAAAAGAAAAAGATCTACCTGATTTTTCTTAGTAGAATGAGTTGGAAGCTGTTCCTTGATCTTATGTTGAGTTCAGCCCATTCAAACCTCTACACACATGCACACAAAACAGTCAAGGAATTGTCCCTTCACAAACTGTTTTGAGGGACCAGCATTCCAAAGGACAATTGAGAAGAGTGCATTTTAAAGTATTCCAGACTAAAGAAAGTTTAAGATGAGCCTGGATATGTAATAAGAATTTAAACTCAAAGCAGGACTGGGGATATATCGCCATGGTTCCACCATCTGCCTCGCAAGCACAAAGTCCCAAGTTCGATCTCTGGCACCGAAAATTAAATAAATAAATATATTAATTAATTAATTCAAAGCAGAAAGCTTTAGAATAGTACAGTCACTCAATCATCCCAGGGGAGTATTATGCTCATTTTAGAAATAGCTTTTCAATTATGCAATATTTATAAAATGAACAAAATAAAATGTAATCCTCATGAAGGAAAAGGAAGCATATTTTCTTCCACTTAACACCAAGTATGTCATGAGGTTATCTATGAGGAAAATATTTTAATATGCTATCTACCACTTTAAAAACTGACATGACTTCTCATTTCATATGTGGACAGAGGACTTTCTTACCTTTTGAAAGGCACAGCTTTTTGAAGAATCATCTCTACTTCAGCAACATTTGCTCTAGCAAGATCTGCCACAGTAAGGAAGCCAGAAGCATAGAGGAACCTGGCTCGCTGTGCATTAAGTAAGGACACCCGAACCAAGTCACACAGCTCCCTCTGGATGCCAAAGGTAAGACGCTTCTGAAACTGGGAAAGTAACAGCTCCATGTTGTGCCAGCCCAGACGGTTGGAAAACACTGTAATCATCCCTAGAACATTCATAGAATAAGTGTTGAATTAAAATTTTCTTATAAACCAATTATCCATTTCTTAGAAATGTTTTTGGCATTCATTTTTTCCTACAGAATTAAAAGGTTTAACAAGGTCCAAAGTATAAGTTAACGGCAGAACAGACACATACTGAGGGCCAAGTCGAATAATAAATGTGCTAAACACATTACATAGCATCTCTTTTTTATTCTTAATTCCAAACTTACCATTTGAAAACTGAGATAGAGAACATAAACACAAAACAAACAACAAAAGACATCATTCTAGTCCATCCCCCTCTGCCTTTCTACCTTTCTAACTTTAAGGAAGACAGAACTCTAATGAAAAGGTAAAGGAGTTTTTCTACCAACAGGAAAATGAGAGCTGATTTAAATATTCAAATGCTGAGAGAATTACAAAAAGTGAAGTTCCCATGCTATTTTCTTCACAGAAACGTCACTGAAATACAGAGTTCTGGCGTCCAAGTGCTAGGCCATTAAGAGAGTCACATTAACACTAAATGAAGTCTCAGACCTCTGATGTCAAGGAGTTAAAGAGTGAGTCCTTCACTTCGAGAACCTTTGCCTCGTCTTCCTTTCTGCACTCCCTCATATTCACACATCTTCACAGCAAAACTCTTACACATATAAACACAGCTTCTAGTAGCCCAGCATCTCCTTCCTAATGGCTTGAAGGACCCACTGGTGAAACTAGACCCAGAATTTCCCTGTTTGCCTAGCTTTGAGGATATGAGTTTCACACAGTGCTCACTATGGCACACTAGTGCTTCTTAAAAGAAATAATATTTAGGGCAGTGAGACAAGAATCCACAAATTCTTGTCCATCTGCCATTATTTTTCTCAACATGTATTATTCATGTATTTGAGAAAAGAAAGACCACTGAGAACTTGGTTGTTTCTTGCAATATAAAGAATGGGGGGCGGGGTGCAAGGCGCGGGATCGCCAGGATGCTCAGGAATGGGAGGGAAATAAGACCCAGACTCACAGCTTGTTGCCATATCTATATAGCGTACCAGGTCCAGTTTTAGATGTGATGATAGCAGATTACAAAATGAAGGCAATTTTAGAGAAGCTTATAGTATAACGGAATTTGAAGAAGAGTAATCTCTTCTTTTTTTTCCAGTACCATGGATCAAACTCACAACCTTGCGCTTGCAAGGCAGGTACAGCACCACTGAGCTAAATCCTGGCCTAAGAGAAGTAATCTTAATGACCCCAAATCACACAGTCTTAAATAAATGTGAAACCTTTTGTTTAACTAACCTGCATAAATAGCAGCTGACTGCTGCAAAGACTGGACCTGTCCACGATTGCATCCATATTTCTGAATAATTTTCTTTAAGGGAATTTCACTGATTAAATCTAATAGCACAAGACTGGTGAAAAACCTAAAAATAAATCACCAAAACATGGTAAGAAATCACTATGTCAAATATGAAAGTACAATGCATATTTCTAACTGAGTAAGAACTACTAAGGTTAACAGTTTATACACTCTGAGGATTCCTAACAGGAAACAGGATTGGTGGATAATTAGAGAGATCAATTTTTACAAAGTAAGTTCTGACATGTAGCAGTACTACAGCAAAGAACTAGCATCAGTATAATAACAATGACAACACAGACTTTGTATTTCAGCACTGCTAATTAATTTCAATAAATAAGACATGGTTCAAGAAATATGACAACACAAAGATTTAAAAGAACTAATACATAGATGTATGACTATCTAATATTTCAATAAAATGAACTTGATTATAAAATCCAGTTGTAATTTGAAAGGCAACACTGACACGAGTCACCCAAAGGTATAAATTCTTATACACCGTAAACTTAACTATATTGTAAATATTGTACTAAAAGAAAAAATAATTTTACCATATTTCAAGGAAGGTAAATACTTGTACAACTTTCCCATCTGATTTTTTTTCCTTTCTCTTATGCTAAGACGGGAGATTGAATACACTGAGCTATATTCCCAGCACGTATTTCATTTCATTTCATGACAGGGTCTCACTGCACCACTGAACCGCCCAGGTTGGACTCAAACTTGTGATCCTCTTGCTCAGCCTTCAGACTACTGAGATCAGACATGTGCTACTGTCCTGAGCTCCACCTGAATCTTTTCTTATCCTTTCCCTGCTGGCACTGACATATACCTCAGGGTACCACAAAGCGCAGCCCCAAATGAAGCCACAGCATAATGGCAATTCTGATTTACATCTTCAAGAAAGGGAAATAAATTCTACTTTAAAAAAGCTTCATATGTAATGACTACTAAACTGTAACCTGTAGGAAGAAACTCAGATATTAATAAATTTAGTAAATACAAAAAACTGTAGGGCCGGGGATTAAGCTCAGTGGTTCCACTGCCTGCCTCACAAGGGGATGTTTGATCCCCACTACCAAAAAAATAAAACTGGAAAGTTTTACTAGTTAGCCAAAATTGTAAATTTTTTGACAGTGAAAGTGACTGCAGTAAACTGGACATCTATTGCATGCCCGATGCTGTGTTGAACACTGCCAAGCCCAGGCTCCTTGGTGTTTACCTTTTGTGGATAGCCATTTGTCGGTGTTGTCTCTCAGTTCTGGCTACTACTTTTCCTTTCACACAGTGAGCCAAGAACCCTTCTTCGATTCCCACCAGCTCTGCCACCCTTTTCATAGAAGTTGGCAACTTCTCCCATAAACAAAAAAATCGATACCAATCAATAGTTGTCCAATCTTCAAACACAGGTGTAACCTACAAGAGGAGAGCAGCATCATGAGTCAGCTACACTATCATATCATGGTGAGCTAGGGATCTGACTCCATTGGACAGTGCTTGTGTAACATGCATGAGGCTCTGGGTCTGATCACTAGGACCACCAAAAATGCCCAACTAAAGAAAGAGAAAACTATCTCATTACAAAAGGAACACAAGTATAACTATATAAATATAAACTTCATGGTTAACACAAGGCCTCACCAGTCATTCACAAACAACTAGAACAAACGAAAGAGACCATCAGGCATACAAACTGGACAGTGCATGAATCTGCTCTTAATGGACAAATTATTCCTAGTCAAGTTCTTTCTAGAGAAAATGACCTCAAACTCTAGCCAACTTATCAAAATCTTTATTATATTCATGGAGGATAACTAAATATAAAAAAACTTAAAGTCTCTACATTTATTATAGAGATTTTATAAAAAATGTAAGTCACAGTTTATTACTTTAGGTCAAAATTTCTGTTAGGCAGTAAAATGCAATACTTTCTATGTTGCAAATACTGAAGCAAGCTAACTGTCTCTTTTTGCTTTAGTTGTTAGGAAATTCAGAACTGAAGTTGGCAAGAGCAACTGAAGAGGTCCTAACAGAATGCCTGTTAACCTTGGCATGAGTTTTACGTTACATGTTATCTTTCATTTTCTGATGTTATTGTCCTTTGCTATTCTTAAATATGTTGTAAAATAAATATTTTTAGAAACTGCCTCAAACACTTTTTGAAAGGAGGCTGAAGGAAAAGGTCAATATAACAATTAGCTTATCATTGGAAACAATTCTCCTTTTGCTTCTTCTCTGCTCCCACCACCAGTAACCTAGACAAGCAAAACAGGCAAGATATTCCCTTAGGTCAAAGAGTCTACTTATATCTCTTCTCCTTACTTCACAAATATAGCAGTTAAAAGTACTTACCAGATAGACAATATGAAGATCATTCTCTAAAACAAAGCCCTTCATCGCTCTTTGAAGATCAGCAAAAATATCTAAGGTATCAGTTGGAGAAAGTGAAGAAAAAAGGGTAGCTGTACCAAGATGCGTTGGATGATACACATTTCCTGGTTTGTGGTGGGGAAACAAATATTAAAAAATCAAATAAAACAAAACATGGAATTTCTGTACTTCATGATTAACCTTCTCAGGTCTGATAAATTTCATGAAGAGATTCTTATCCAGTGTGCAGAAATTTATGAGTAACATGAAAAAAGTTGAGTGAAAGATGAGAGAGTAAATTGCAACTGAGAATCCATATTTACCTTCTGTCCCATCACTGGGTTCTATAATCTGGATAAATTCATTTTCCAGCAGCCACATCACACAGGATTCAATCATTCCAAGTTGAACAGAATCTTGATTTTTCTGAATACCCTGCTTCCTTTCTTTCACACTTGCAGCCAAAAATGTGCAAGAAGCATAAAGCTGCATATCTTCTGATGTACTTGCCACTCCACTGACTATTATCTGATAGAAAATGTTTGAAAATTTCTGTAACATTTTTTTTTCTTGCAGAATTAGGGATTAAACCTAGGGCCTTTGCACTGAGCTACATCCCCAGCCAGCATTTTGTTTTCATTATTTATTTAGAAACAGTGTCGTAGTAAGCTGCCCAGGCTGGCACAAACTTACAATCCTTCTAACTTACCCTCACAGAATTAAGAGAGTTAAGTGAGTGCCTTCACCCTACCCTTGCCCCGGCCTGCATCCAGCAGAAGGTGGGAGGTGGAGGTCTGGGACAGCCACCATGCAGGGATCCCGTCTTCACTTGGGCTGCCTCAAGCCAACTGGTGAGGACTGGATATTGCAGAGGGCACCTCTGCAATATCTACACAGCGTCCCCACTCCCACCCCCCAGATCTCAGGCCTCCTGATTGTGCCAGTTCTCAGATCCACTCTGCAAAGGTACAGGTGGCCATAAAGCTCATTTTCTGAGCTCCAGAAGATAGAACAGAAGTGAACAACTGTGATAAAGGTACATCAGACCTCCATAGTAGCTAAGTTGGAGAGATCACCACCTTCCATCAGAATTTTGAATATCTTCAGAGAAAGAGCCATGGGAAACTGTAGTAGAACCTTGCAGAGTTCAACTCGGCAGGAGGTCAGGAGCTCAATTTGGGCCTTGCAGCCCAAATTCAGTCTGAATCTCAGGGATCAGTCATCAGCTAGCTGTCTATTGTGACAGCAGAAATATAGTCTGAAAGAGGCCCTTCAAATTCTTTTTCTTTTCCTCATTCCACTCTGCAAATTCTTTCTTTTTCTGTTTTCTTTTTCCAACTCAGTCTCTTGCCCCCTGCCCATATTATTCTTCATCTCCCTTTCTGTTTCTGTTCCTGCACTAAAATGATTTTCTTCATTTATTTTTTTTTATTCTTTCTTTCTTTTATTTTCTTCTCCCACTTTCATTTACTCAAGGGTCAATAGTTTCAAAGGAAAGTGAGCCCCTATTACTGTTAAGTTGTTCTATTCTTGTCTTTATTCTTGCACTCTGTCTTTCCCTCTTTTCTTCAACAGTTTCCCAAAGTTTGTGCAGTCATCCTGTGTCCTCTAGCTTCACTTCAAACTTTCTCCAATTCTTTTACCTATCTACTCCTCTCATCCTAACTCTGTCTAAATCCCCATCCTAAAGGGTAAAGATGCTATATTAAGAGTTTATTCACTATAAACATATTTTGGGCTGCTCCTTGATTTTGATTTAATTCACATGGTTTAAAGGTGATAGATTAATAACTACCACAAGTGGTCAATTTGTAAATTGTGCTCGATCCTACTATGATGCTGATTGTATCAATTGGGCTAAAGGGTTGTGATTGAGTTAATGAGTTGCCCTTTCTGATATTATGAAAATGACAGCGTCTATGAGTTATGAGAAACTAAAAAGCTAAAGTACAACTATATCAAAGATTTAAGTACTAATCCAGGAATCAAACCAAGGACAACCCAACAACAAAAATAAAAATGAGGAAACACTTCAGCAAGACACAAATACAGACTTCCAGTTTACCAATGGCAAACTCTAGAGCAAATGAGGTTGAAAAGTCTGACAGTGAACCACCAGGACACACTGAACTCAAAGCACAGGAAGTAACAAAACAGATCAATTAGGTTCTAGAAAAATTCAAAACAGAAATAATTTCCCAGATAACTACAGAGATGGTGAGCACAATGAAAGACATGATTAGAGAACTCTAGAACAGAAACTGACAAAAACATCGATGAGCTCAGGTCCATGATAGAAGCTATGAAGACCCAGCATAAGAAAGAAATGGAAACCATAAAACAGATTAAAACAGATATCCAGAGATTAAAAACTCTATTGACCTAGGTAAGGGATTTAGCTCAGCAGTTCCGCCTCCTGCCTTGCAAATGCAAGGACCTGAGTTCACTCCCCACAACAACAACAAAAACCTCCATTGAGCTGGGTGTGGTGTCGCACACCTATCACCCCAGCACTCAGGAGGCTGAGGCAGGAGTACAGCTGTGAGTTCAAGACCAACCTGGGCTACAAAGTCAGTTCCAGTTCAGTCTCAACTAAGAGAGTCAAAACTCTCTTTCAAAATGGAATGGGAAATAAGATACTTCCATGACAAAGAACACCTGAGAAACTTCATGAATACCAAACCAACACTACAAGCAATCCTAAATAATATCCTAGAAAAAGACAATGAAGATCACAACACCATGAGGCCCAACAGACCAAATCAAATAGGCAAGGCAAGAAACTAAAAGGAGAGGGGGGAAAAGTAAAAAGAGTCAACAAAAGGACAATAACATGACAATAATGTCAGTACATATCAGTTCTAACCATCAAGGTCAATGGCCTCAATTCACCAATCAAGAGAAGTAGACTGGCAGAATGGAATAAGAAGCAAAATCCAACAATATGTTGTATACAAGAAACACACGTAGTGCAAAAAGAAGCCCATAGATTGAAAGTGAAAGGATGGAAAACAGTTCTCCACGTGACAGGAGCCCAGAAAAAAGCAGGGGCAGCTAACCTATGCACAAAGCAAATTTCAAACCAACACTTATTAAGAGAGACAAAGAAGGCCACTACATCCTTGTAAAGGGAACAATTCAAGAGGAAGAGATGACAATCATGAATATATACACACCAAATATTAATGCTCCCAACTATATAAAACAAATATTAAGTAACATGAAAAACCAAATAAGCAAAAACACAATTGTAGTGGGAGACCTAAACACCCCACTATCACAAATACATCATCTAGGCAAAAAATCAAAAAGGAAATACTAGAACTGAACCAAGATTTTGAACATATGGACTTAATAGATGTCTATACAGTGTTTCACCCTAGAAAATCAGAATATACATTCTTTTCAGCTGCACAAGGGTCATTCTTCAAGATAGACCACATACTAGCTTATAGAACAGGTTTGAATAAATGCAAAGTAATCAAAGTTATCCACAGTACATTATCAGACCATAGTGCAATTAAGCTACAGATCAATAGCATAAGACACCGTAGGAACTTCACAAACACAAAGAAATTCAACAACACTCTCCTGAACAATCAATTCATCACAGAGGAAATTAAAGAAGAAATCAGAAAGTTTTTACAAATAAGTGAAAATGCCAACACAGCATACAAGAATCTATGGGACACAATGAAAACAGTTCTATATGGAAAACTCATACCACTGAATGCCCACACTAGGAAAAGAGTGAGATCAAATAAACAACCTAACAATGAATCTTAGACTCCTAGAAAAACAAGAGCAAGAAAAACCCAAAGCTCGAACAAGAGAGGAAATTATAAAGATTAGAGCAGAAATCCATGCAATGGAAACTAAGAAAATGATACAAAAAATAAATAAAACAAAGAGTTGGTTTTTTGAAAGAATAAAAAAAACCGAAAACCCCTTAGCTAATCTTATCAAAAAAAAAAAAGGAAAGAAAAGGCTCAGATCCATGCAGTCAGGAATGAAAAAGGCAAAGTCACAACAGATCCAACAGAAATCCAGAGGATCATTAATACCTACCTTGAGAACCTGTACTCTAATAAATTGGAAAACACAGAAGAAATAGACAGATTTCTAGATAATTATGAATTGCCAAAGTTGAACAAAGAATATAAAAACATTTTAAACACCCAATTACAATCTACGAAATTGAAAATGTAATTAAAAATTTACCAACAAAGAAAAGCCCAAGTCCTGATGGATTCACTGTTGAAATTTACAAGACATTTAGAGAAGAACTACTGCTTTTACTCTTCAAATTTTTCAATGAAATTGAAAGGGAAGCTATACTTCCAAATTCATTCCTGGAAGCAAGTATCACTTTAATTCCCAAACCGGGGAAAGACACAAGTAAAAAAGAGAACTACAGGCCAATCTCCTTGATGAATATACATGAAAAAATCCTTAATAAGATACTAGCAAACAGAATACAGAGGATCATCAAGAAGATCATACACCCTGATCAAGTCAGATTTATTCCAGGGATGCAAGGATGGTTCAACATACATAAATCAATAAATGTAATACACTATATCAACAGAATCAACGACAAAAACCAAATGATCGTCTCAATAGATGCAGAAAAAGCATTCAACAAAATTCAACACCCATTCATGATAAAAAAAAAAACCCTTCAAAAAACTGGAATAGATGGTCTATATCTCAACTTAATAAAGGCTATCTAAGAAAAGTCAACAGCCAACATCATATTAAATGGCCAAAAACTGAAAACTTTCATGTTAAAATCAGGAACAAGACAAGGAAGCCCACAATCACCACTTATGTTCAATATACTTCTGGAAACATTAGCCACAGCAATTAGACAAGAGGAAGAAATTAAAGCAATAAAGATAGGAAAGGAAGAAGTTGAACTGTCATTATTTGCTGATGATAGGATACTCTACATTGATGACCCAAAAGACTTCTAGGCTTAATTGACTGATTCAGCAGAGTACCTGGATACAAGGTCAACACTCAAAAATCAATAGGCTTCTTGCACACAAATAACAGACTCACTGAGAGAGAAATTAGGGAAACAATTCTTTTCACAATAGCATCCCAAAAAATGAAGTATCTAGGAATCAATCTAATGAAAGAAGCAAAAAACCTCCACAATGAAAACAATAGCACTCTGAAAAAAAGAGATTGAAGAGGATATAAGAAAATGGAAAGAAATCTCCTGCTCCTGGGTAGGAAAAATCAACATAGTGGCCATACTACCAAAACTGCTAAGAGATTCAATGCAATGCTGATTGAAATTCCAACAGTATATCTCACAGAACTAGAAAAATAATCCAAAACTACATTTGGAATCAAAGGAGACCTAGAGTAGCAAAAACCATCCTGGGCAACAGAGACATGGTAGCACGTATAACAACTCCCAATTTGAAACTATACTACAAAGCCACTGTGATAAAAACAGCATGGTAATGGCAAAGAAACAGACCTGAGGATTAGTGAAATAGACTGCAAAATACAGA